AGTCTGGACACGCTGGCCTCCTTTCTGTTCTTGGTACCCACCCCGCGTTCTATCTCTGGACCCTGCACAGAGCATCCCTTCCGCCTGAGGAGCCCCGCTGGTGTCCTGGTTACATGTTGGGCGACTAACCAGCTCGGCGGGAGGAAGATGAGACGCTCACCCAGCCATTTATCCCTCCACCCTTCAATTAACCCCACATGAGTTTATCAGACAGGTTGGAAAAATAAACTAACTCACCTGTGAAAGAGTCATTCAAATCCCCACCCCCCAAGGGGTCGTGACCCACAGGTTGGGAACCTCTGTTCTACTCTGTCTCCATGGGTCAGAATCCACTAGATGACAGAGAAAGGTTTAGTGGGTGGGGTGAGAGGATTGGCATCTCAGGGTGGGACTAGAGGCTCAAGACAGGCAGCCAGAGAGGCAGGCTGTCCCAAAGCTGGCAGGTCTGGGCAGGCCTGAAGGCTTCCGCAGTTTTCAGCATTTGCTGAAAGGGTTGGCGGTTGCCCAGACTGCTGCAGCTCCGTTCCCCGTGCACCCTCCTCCTTGGGTGTCTGCCCTGAGCACGGCCAAGAGGTGCCGAGAGACCAGATCCATCCCAAGGCTTCCATCTGCCAAGTCACCCTTCTTGTCCCGTCCCAGTGAAATTCAGCCACAGGCCTCCACCTACCTCCATAGCACTGCGAAATCTGTCTTCTTGGAGGGGTTGGCACTATCGGGTCACCGTGGCAGCCCTGGGACTGCGCGCTGGCCCACTGAGGTTCCTGGGATCGCCCCTGTGCCTGCAGGCCTCTGCGCATCTTCCCAAGTCTGCGCTGGCCACCCTAACCCCCCAGCACCCTCAGGCTGCCTGTCACTCTGCAAGCTTCAAAAATCAAAACCAAAAAAACCCTCCAAAAAACCAATCAAACAAAAAACACCCTCAAAATCACGGCCAGCGAGTCGATCCCGACTCACAGCCACCCTGTAAGACAGGGCAGAACTGGCCCTGTGGGTTTCCAAGCCTGTAAATCTTTATGCAAATAGAAAGCCTCGTCTTTCTCCCACAGAGCGGCTGGTGGTTTTGAACTGATGATCTTGATGTTAGCAGCCCAACGCAGCTGTACCACCGGGCCTTCTTTGCAAACCCCCCAGCTCCTTAATCATCGGGTCCACCCTGGCTCCACAAGCACAGCACTTCACAGGTCCGGTCCACAGCCCTTACAAATTAGGTCCTGCCTTTTTGTGTGAGCCCCGCCCACCATTGCCTATCCCGGCACTCCAGGTGGGTCTTGGGAGTCCTTTACAGCCAGCCTAAGTCCAGGCTGTAATCTCTGGCTCTGCTCCTGCACGCCCCTGACTCACAAGGGCCTGGGGGGTCTAGGTATGCGTTGCTGGGAGCACCATCTCTTACTTCAGCCTGGGGCTCCTACACAATAGGCCTAGGACTTTCTCAGTGTCCCTCTGGCCTGCGAGGCGGGAGGGTGGTGGTGGTGGTGGTGGAGGGGTGTCCTGGGTAAAGCGGAGAGCCTGAACGGGGTGGGGGTCCTTTTTTCAGGACTCTGAGACCGTGGCTCGCAGGTCCGGCCAAATCTCAGGGGTTCCCAAAACTGACCAAATACATGTGAACTGTTCCTTTTGATAGGGACTCCCAGGGCCTGCGGGGAAGGGACAGGTCCCCCATCTCACCATTCCTGTCTCCGCAGCCTCAGTCTGTCCCTGCTCCAAAGCCATGGACGGCCGCTGGCACCAAGGGGCCCGTAATGTCCCCTCTGGAGTCTGTGAGCCGCCCCAGGCCGGCGTCCACCCACTGCCTGCCAGCAGGAGCCGAGTGAGTGCCTGTCGGACAAATGTTCTCTGTCAAGGAGCCAGGCCGCCCACATCAGGGCTTGGAGTTCCCACCGGGGCAGGCCTGGGAGGGCACTGGAGAAGAAGAGTGGCATTCATCAAATGCCTTGCCTTGGGAACCCCTAAAAAGTCAAGGAAATCCGGGCTCCTCAATGGCGCCTCTAGGTCATTCAAATTCGTCACCACCGAGTCAATGCTGAATGAAATCCTGTGTTTCCTTGTCTCGTACAGTAACAGTGTCAACTGTGAGTGGAAAACAATTCGCAGGCACCTCCCAGAACAGGCGGGTGGGCTACTAACCAAGGTCAGCGGTTCAAATCTACCAGCCACTCTGCTGGAGAAAGAGGAGGCTGCCTGCTCCTGTAAAGATTCCTTACCGACTTGGAAACCCTAGGGAGCAGGCCTCCTCTGTTCTACAGGGTCGCCATGAGCCATAGTCATCCACGGCTGAGGGTTTGGCCATGCAGGGAGGCCTGGGTCCTTGGAGAACCCACACATCTGGGCATCACACTAGTGTGGTCACACCCTCCTGACCTCCAGGGAGCGCCCACCTGCGTCCGGCAAGATGAAAGGCAGGCAGTTCCCCAAGTTGCCCGACAAGCATTTCCCCGTCTGCCCACAGGGCTCCTCTTCTGGCCGTGCTCCTCGGAAGTTAGGTAGTTTTCTTGGGAGTTCCCCAATTCCAGAATTTGCTTTGTCGGGAAGTGGCAGCCCCCAGTGTGGCCACCAGGAGGCACTAGGCAAGCCTAGGTAGTCCTTGGAGCTGGGGGTCTCCAGGGGTCTCCCAGGACACCTTTCTAGAACTGCCCCTGTCCCTGCTGAGGTCCAGAATGCACCTGGCATGCCTCCTGTCCACCCTCGGGTGCCTCCAGCTCTTCCTCAGAGTTCCCACACTGCCAGGCTTATCTACTCTGGGAACTAAACACCCTCCCTCCCTCCCTCTAATCAGCGGTTCTCAACCTGTGGGTCTCGACCCCTTTCACAGGGGTCACCCGATTCATCACAGTAGCAAAATGACAGTGATGAAGTAGCAAGGAAAATAATGGTATGGTTGGGGGTCACCACCACATGAGGAGCTGTATTCAAGGGTCGCGGCATGAGGAAGGTTGAGAACCGCTGCTCTAGATATTGGTGACTCCCTGTGGCCTCACTGGACTGTGGGAGCCCGAGGGATGGTGGGAGCTGGCACACCTCAACAGACCCAGAGCCATGAGATCTAGAGTACCCTTCCCTAGGCCACAGGAGAACAGCCTTCATGCCTGCGCCCATCCCCGGGATGCGAACAGTCCCAGGCCGTGCTGACGGGTCTGGACACAGGCTGGCCTCCTCCATTTAATCGGCGCTGCCCTGCTTCCGTGGCAGAGGTCTCCCATTGTCTTTAGAGTAAAGCTTAAGGTTCTCATCCAGCCTCTGGGGCTCTGCGTGGGAGTCCAGCCCCCCGCACCCCCGCTATTAGAGTCTGGACACGCTGGCCTCCTTTCTGTTCTTGGTACCCACCCCGCGTTCTATCTCTGGACCCTGCACAGAGCATCCCTTCCGCCTGAGGAGCCCTGCTGGTGTCCTGGTTACATGTTGGGCGACTAACCAGCTCGGCGGGAGGAAGATGAGACGGCTTTCTCCCGTACAGAGTTACCGGTTCAGAAACTCGCAGGGACAGTTCTAGCCTGTCCCTCGCGGTCTCCAGGAGCCGGAACAGGCTCAATCGACAGTGCGCTTTGGTGTTTTCTTTCTGCCTGGAGCTGGACTCCGCCTAGCACAGTAGAGGCTGGAGGGGGCCGGCTGTGCTCACATCTCACCTCCCCAGGCGACCCCCATGCTCACACTGCGCGTGGATACCAGCGCCAGCAATTACCTGAGCCGTGGTGCGTCCGCGTGTCAGAGGGGTTTCAGTTGCTGACTTTTCAGAAGTGAGAAAACTCACTGCCATCCAGGTGATGCTGACGCATAGTGACCCTGTAAGACAGGGTCGAACTGCCCCTGTGAGTTCCCATGACTGTAACACTTTATGGGAGTAGAAAGCCCGACCTTTCTTCCTCGGAGCGGCTGGTGGTTTCGAACCGATGACTTTTTGGTTAGCAACTCCAACGCATAACTGCGACCACGCCCTCCACCAGGGCTCCTCCCCTGGGCAGCAGGTCCTAAAGGATAAGTCTTGGCTCAACCTGTCCGATGCTCTTCTGTTGGCCGGTTCAGTGCGTACAGGAGGCCTGCGAGGTGGGAACTGTCGTTGGCTCCCTTTCACTGCAGCTGACACCGGCTCAGAGAGGCTCTGCTCTTTGCTGGACGAAGGCATACAGTGGTGTTCTCCCCTTTGCGGGGAGGTACATCACAAGCCGGTACCCAAACCTTTGAGGGCCTCCTGGAAGACCCGGGTCTGAAAAGATTCAAAAAAGAACGTTCCAGGCCGAGGGGAAAGCAGTGGACAAAGGTGTGGTGGTCAGGCAGGACGGGCCTGAACCCGGGACGGCTCAGCTCCGAGGGCTTGGCCAGAAGGGCCACGCAGGGAGCCAGGATAAAGCTGGCTGGGCTCCCAGGCGCTGTCAGCTGAGAGTCTCTGGAGGGAGGACCCCCATAGGAGGGAAGTCACACTTCAGTCCCTCCCCTCGCTGTAGCCTTCTCCCACGCTCCGGGCTCCCTTTTGGATGAGGCAGGATCTTCCCAGGAGGGGTGGCGCCAGGGGCAGGCTGTGGGGCGGGACCAGGGGAGGCACGGAGAGCTCCCATCTCTGGGAAGCCCATTCTCCTCTGTTACCAGCTCCACAGATTGGGGGCCCTGTCCAGCTGCTGCCAGGCCTGCAAGGTGAGCGAGCGGGTGGGTGTCAGGTCACTGCCTGTGGGAGGGGGCTTCTGGCAGGTCAGGGTTGGGGACTCCTTGGGAGTTATTCTCTATGAGGTGGGTCTCTTTCCCCAAATGTAGATTACCCTTCCCTCTCCCTAGGCGTGGGGTGCCCCCCCAGCTATCATATGCAGTGCGCCCCATCTAGTTACTCTTCTAGAAGTGGGACACCCCTTCTGGCTCGTTTTGGTGCACCCCTCTCCATAAATGTGGAGTCCCTCTCTCTTTTAGAGGTGGGTGCTGTGCCCTCTCTCTGGCTTGGTTTGATCCTCCCCCTCCTCTAAAGCCTCTCCCCACCCCGCATGGGATGCTGGACCCTGCCACTTCCTTGGGGTTGGGGGAATGGGCTCAGCTTGCCCCCCTCCCCTCCCCTCCCCAGATCCAGTGGAACGGGCTCTCCAGCACGTAGGCAGCCAATTAGTGGTGGGGTGGGGGCGGAGGGGTGGGGGCCAGACCTTCCTGGCAGATGGCCCTGGTGCTGGCAAGGGAGATGTCTGCAGGCCCTGCTGCCTCCAGACACCGACGCTCACCCAGGGACTTCTGGGAGCTGGTACTAGAGGGGTCTCCAGCTTAGACAACTGGGGCTGGAAAAAGAACTTGGGGTCCCAGCCTCAAACTCTCAGTGCTGCCTCAAAAGATAGGCCGTCTCCCACTTCTCAGATGGTGAATTGGGGTCCCAGGAGGACTATGATCATGCCCCCCCACTCCTGCCCCCGCTCCTTGTTGATATCAGAGAGATAATGACAAAGATTGGAGGCTGGCCAGAGAGTGACCTTAAAATTCTTTGAGCCTCTCCCCACACTCCTGGAAAGAGGGGTTTGTAGTTTGGGTGCCGAGGCAGGCATCGTGGGGAGTGGCTGAGAACCCAGAGGCAGGACTCACCCATGTGCCCACCCAGATGCTCGCCAGAGCCCCCTGGAGCCTGGTCCTGAGAAGCAGAGGACTCAGAACACGAGGGGTACACAGCCCCGGAGGCACTGGTAAGTCCTCAGCCCCTTCCTCTCACCCGGGACTCCAGGGCCAGGACACAGGGGTCCTGCAGCCTGCAGGCTGTCCCTGCTATGCCACCCATCGGGCCCCCAAACCACTTCCCACAGCCCACTCCTTGGACCCAAGCCATGTTCCCTCACCCCCAAGGTTTCTCAGGGCTGGACCCCCAAACTCCAGGTCCCCAAGGCCCTTGTGGGTGTAGGCAGAACCTTGGGGTCTAGGTCCTCCTTTTCCAATCATGGTGTCAGTGCTTCTCAGAAGAAAAGGGCCCAAAAGCATGAGAGACTTGAGGCAGATAATAGAAGGGCCTTCCTGACTCTTACCAAACCAAACTCACTGCCATGCACTCGCAGCCACCCTGCAGGACGGGGCAGAACTGCCCCCTTGGGGTTCCGAGAGGAGAAGGAAGGCCTCGTCTTTCTCCCACAGAGGGGCTGTTGGTTTTGAGCTGCTGACCTTTTGGTTGGCAGCCCCATGTGCTACTCCTGCGCCACCAGGCTCCTTGTCCTGATGGTCGTAACGTTCCTGAGCCCTTCCCGTGGGCCCGGCAGTCATGGGACGCCGCAGCTCAGTGCAGGTCACTGCCCCGAACCCACCAGTCACTGCTGGGGAGAAAGATGAGGCCGCGTCTGCTTCTGTAAAGATTTGCCACTTTGGAAACCCCGGGTAGCACATCCCCTCGGTCCTGGAGATGTCACAGGAGTTCGACTTGACCGGACAGGGCAGTGAAGCACTAGGCACTATGCCCCTCATGCTGTGACAAGCGTTTCTCTGCTATCACAGCAGGCCTCGGAGCGGGGCGCTGGGCCGTTGTCTGGACACACTGAGCACTAGACACCAGAAGCGCCAGGACTCCTTGCCCGGGGCGGTTCCAAATCCCACAAGGTACCACCAATGTCCTGTTAATCGGCGCCTCTGATGTCCACAAGCAGGGACATGTTGACTGAGCCCACAGGGAACTCATGGGGCTCAGCCCTGGCCTCGAGCCTTCCCGCTCTGTGAATTTCACCCAGTCAACTAGCTGCCTGGTTTCTTCGTTAGTGCAATGGGGTAACCGTCTTGCCTGGCCCGGAGTGACTGCAAGCACCCCGCCCGCGGGGCCTGAGACTGCTTCCTGGCAGAGAGGATGTGCCCATGAGTAGACTGATGTGAGCGTGAGGGGAGGGGGCAGCCTGGATTCAGCTCCCTCCCTGTCGCCCACAGCCCAGGCTGAGGACAAGATGCCCCCCTACATCAACTGCTACGCCCTGCGCTCCTATCCGATGCCAGAGGATCCCTGCTGTACAGAGCTCAGCGCCGAGCAGCAGGCCCTGAAGGAGAAGGAGAAGGGCAGCTGGGCCCAGCTGACGAAGGCCGAGAAGGTGGCCCGTGAGTGTCCACGCAGGGCAGGGTGGCCGGGGACATGGGGGGCGTGTGTATGAGGACAGACCCTGCAGGGAGCAGGGAGAGGCCCACAAGGACAGCCAGAAACCCCCGTCTCCTGAAAGTACATGCAGAAGGTGAAGCGGATCCATTTGTTCATCCATTCTTGCTTCCCTTCGTGCACCACCCCTCAGAAGCCCCTATCCGTGCACAGCTGGGCGATGTCGGGGACCCAGAGACTCCCTCAGCAGACGCTCCCCATCCAGGGGGAGCACGGACACAGGATATAGGGTTAGGATGGGGTGTGTGCCTTGGGCTGGGGGGACCTGTGGGAAAGAGGGCTGGAATCTGGACTCCGAGGAGGAGGCCAGCTTCCCGCTAGCCTGGGAGGGCGAGGGGGAGGGGCCACCAGGAAGTGGGCACATCATGGGGGTGTGTGTGGGTGGTGGCTCCATTGAGAGGGTGGGGGGACTGGCTCAGAAGGAGTCGGGTGAGGTGAGTGGGGCAGGGATCTGATCCTGGGAGGCAGGAGAGATTTGGGTCCCGTGTCCTGGGATGACCTTGAGCTCTCTATAGCCTTGGGTCCAGTCCAAACACCTGCATTTCTGGGGACTCTGGAGTGGAGGAGTGCACAGGATCCTCAACCCCCTTCACTCAGCAAGGTGCTGCACCCCCACTTCAGGGCCAGGCACCAGGCGCAGGGCTGGGAGCAGGCGGCTCGCTGAGTTGGCCTGGTGAGAGCCGACCTTCCCAGACCCCTCTCCTTCTGCAATCTTCCTCCTTTCAGCATCCTGGGCTCTTGGTCTCCATCCACGTGAAAAGACCACAACCTTCTTCTTAAGAATGTCATCCAAATGCCACATACACAAAGCCGGCACTGAGGCTGCCATTCTTTGTAGCCCCCAGTTCAGTTAAGTCAGCGGTTCTCCACCTTCCTAAGGCCGCGACCCTCGGAGACAGTTCCTCGTGTGGTGGGGACCCCCAACCTTCACGTTATTTCCGTTGCTACTTCATCACTGTCATTTTGCTACTGTGATGATCGGGCGAAGCCTGTGAAAGGGGCTTCCAACCCCAAAGGGGTCATGACCCACAGGCTGAGAACCGCTGAGTTAAGGAAATTGAGGCTCAGAGAGGTGACGCCACTTGTAGACCGTGGCCCAGCTAGAGAGTGGTGGGGGCAAGATTGGAACCCCCCCACCGCCTGGCATGCGAGTGACAGCGGAGCTCCACCATCTTCCTTTGACCACTGGAAATGCTGGGTCCTCGACCCTTGACCTCCACTGGGTAGGACTCCTCCCTGCCCCCCACCTCAAATGTTCCCTGCGCCAACTAACAGGATGGGGTGGGAGTGGTGTCTGACCGCCCAAGAGGGTCAAAGCAAAACAAAGCCAAAGCCAGACGGACTCCTGTGGTTATGTCGTTAGGTCACCAGCCTGACACACCGCCTGGCCCTGTGGCACCCTCTCCATTGTTCCTCTGCCACTGTGCCAGTCCACTCCCCGAAGGCTGTCCTCTTTTGAGCTGCTCCTTACTTTATCAAACACGACGTCCTTCCCCAGGGATTGGTCTCTCCTGTCGACATAGCCAAAGTACGTGAGACTACGTCTTGCCACCCTTGTCTGTAAGGAGCACTCTGGCTATCCTTCTCCTGACTCATCGCGACCACCCTCTAGGACAGGGTAGAACTGCCCCACTGAATTTTTGAGACCGTAACTCTTTCCAGGAGTAGAAACCCATCTTTCTCCCATGGAGCGGCTGGTGGTTTTGAACCCCTGACCCTGTGGTTTGCAGGCCAACACATAACCACTAGGCCACCAGGGAGAATCGAGCTCCACCTCAGCCTGTGAGGGGAGGGCAGCCATGCCCTCAGCCTTCCTCCCCCGTTCCTCCCAAGGTCCTCTGTACACTTTTACCCTGTCCCCCACCCCACCCCAAATAGTCCTTTCTCCCTGTTGTCACCCACAGTCCCCACCCTCCGGAAATGCCAACTCCTTCTGCAGGTTGATCTTGTTCTCACACAGCCAGCCACACACCAGGGCATCTTGCTCAAACCCAAGACAGCTCGCCGGTTCCCCAAGGAGCTCTGCTGCCACCTTTGCTTCTTTTTCTCCTTTAGTTATTTATTTTCATATTTATTTAATGGCCCACGGAAAGATCACACACAGAGAGCAACACATTAAAGGAATAGAGGGAAAAGGTTCGTTTCCCTTCCACCCAGTCCCCGGTGGCCAGGCTCCTATGAGTACGTGTGAAAGCCTTCCCGCCCTTGTGGGAGGACCCCCCCACCCCATGCCCTCCCTTCTGCACACTGCATCACTTCACTGGCTGGTACATGCTCATGGCATCTGGAAACTGAGACCCCTCACTGCTGCGAGCCCATTCCGACGCACAGTCCAGGCCCATCTGAGACGCCGGTCTTTCCGGCAGCAGCCAGCCTCAGCGTTCTCCCCGGAGCAGCTGGTGGGTTTGAGTGGCCGGCCTTGCAGTTCCCAGCCCCTGGTTGAACTCTCAGGGCCACTCTAGGCGAGAAAATTAGCACTGAAGCCTGAAGCCGCAGCTGCTTGGGTTTGAACCCAGGTCGTTTGAAAGGTGTCCTCTGGCTACTGAATGGATGGAGGGAGAACAGGCAGGCGGACCAAGGAGGTGCCAGTCCAGGTGAGAGGTGGCCAGTCCAGGCGAGAGGTAGCGGAATCGTCTACCAGGGCACTAACCAAGGGGGTGAGGAAGTGAAAGGGGGCCTTGTCTAAGAGTAATAATGATAGGAACCACGACTTATTCGGTGAAGGAGACATGGTAGTGCGGTTAAGTAAGCATGGACTGCTGACCACAAGGTGGACGGTTCTAACCTGCCAGCCACTCCTTAGGAGAAAGATGAGGCTACTTGCTCCTCTAAAGATTTACAGCAGGGAATAACCTGGAACCCAATGGTTGCACAACACGAAGAGTATCGTCAAGGGCACTGAATCACACAGGTAGAAGTTGTTGGATTGGAGACTGTCTGTTGTGTGTATTTTTGCCACGATTAGCAGAAAAGGACACTGATGGCAATGAGTACAGGAAGAAGAAAGTGTTCTACAATGGATGGTGGTCATGATTATACAACTCTTCTTGATCTGAACGAACTATTGAATTGTATGATATGTGGATGAGGTGCCAATGAAACTTTAAAAAATAAGATTTGCAGCAGGATGGGGACCTTTTTTTCTGCCAAGAGCCATTCGGATGTTTGTAACATGATTTGCCAGTGGTCCTGGCATCTAGTTAACTGCCCGCTCATGGGATGGCTGGAAGCGCTTCTCTGTGGGGAGGTGTGTGGTGCCAGCTGACACTGATGATCAGCTGACACTGATGTGCGCGACTGCTCACTGCAGGTCGGTCGTTCGAAACCACCTTCCGGGTGGCTCCTTGGGAGAAAGGCGGGGACATGTTCTGAAATCGATTGTGGTGATGACTGTACCAATCTTCTTAATACGACTGGACGATTAAATTGTTTATGTGAAGTATATGTCAATAAAAGAAACATGTTTTAAGTTAGAAATCTTGGAAACCGAGAGGGGGAGTTCTTCTACCCTGTCCTATAGAGGCGCTATGACTTGGAATGGAATTGAAGGCAGTGAGGTTGTTTTAATATTTATATAGAGACAGCCCGTGGACCAGATGATCCCACCCCTGACGGGCCACCTCAGGAACGCTCTCTGCAGAGTTGGGGTGAATCAGAAGGGACTCAGTGGCAGTGGGGTTGGGGTTTGTGTTTTGGGGGGGTGGTTATTTGCTAGGTGCTGGGAAGTGTGCAATTGTCTGGTCCCAGTTCACCCCACATCGCTCTCAGAGGGAGACATCCACCCATTTCCCAGATGAGGAGCAGAGGCCCAGGCAGCTGGCATGCCTGACCCAGGGCTCGGAGCCCAGCAGTGGGGGACCTCTGTTCCAGGTGCTGGGGACGTAGCTGTAGTCACAGATGTCACTCACACCCCTGCACTTGCCTCCAGGGCCTCTCATCCACTGTGGAGGAGGGGAGGGCCAGGACCCCTGGCTGGGGTCCCTGGGGCGGATGCACTGATGCCACCCCTATGCCATCCTCCAGTGTACCGCCTCCAGTACAACGAGACCTTCGCCGAGATGAACCGTCGCTCCAACGAGTGGAAGACGGTGATGGGCGGGGTCTTCTTCTTCGTGGGAGTCACAGGGCTGATCATCTGGTGGAAGCGGGTCTATGGTGAGTGGGCGGGGCCCTGCCCTCAGAGACCCTGGAACCATGGCTGCCCCTGGCTGAGCCCAAGGACCCTTGGGAAGGGAAGGGGAAGAAATGCTCTCCCCGGGGACCCTGCAGTAGGCAGGAGCCAACTTGGTGGTTAGAATGAGTGAGCCAACAGGAAGCACTGGTCAGGATCTGTCAGGCATTACGCCCCTTGCTTTATAAGATCGATCACCTTGTCTCTGACAGATAACGCCAAGGGGGGGGGGCGCTCTGAGAGGTGAGGGGGCTTGCTCCGTCACACAGCAAGTGGGTGGTGGAGTTGGGACTTTAGATCCAGGCCGACTTCAGCCCGGGGCTCCTGCTACCACTGGGCCACACAGGTAGGTGGGGAGCCTAGGGCTCAGAGAGGGGACAGACCTTGGTGACCCAGGTCACGGGGTGACGTCTCAGGTGGCACGGAGGCCCGAGGTCCCTGAAATGATGCCTTGGACAGGCGATTGGCCGTGCTGGCGGTGTGTGCGGTGGAGACGTGGGGGGCACACGGGGAGGGGATGTGGGGTGATGGGCAGGGTGGAGGGTGCTCCTCGGCAGGAACTCTGTGACTAGAGACAGCCTGGCAGGGTGCTCAGCCTCCCCGTGCCCCCTCCAGTGTTCCCCGAGAAGCCCATCACGCTGACAGACCAGTGGAAGGCCCAGCAGCTCCAGCGCATCCTCGACATGAAGGGCAACCCCGTGCAAGGCCTGGCTGCCCGGTGGGACTACGACAAGAAGGAGTGGAAGAAGTGATATTGCCCCAGCGGCCCTCCCTGCAGGCCCACCCCTAGCGGCCCCTCCTCTGCCCTTCACCTCAATAAAACCGGGCCGATTGCTTCTGCCAACTCCGTCTTTACAAGGGGGTACAGGGGGCTCAGTGGGGTGCTCCGCTCCTAAGGGCAGGAAGGTGGTGGCCCAGAGCCACACAGCGGCCCCGCAGAACGACCTGGTGATCGATTGCCTTTGTAAGATTATAGCCTCTGAGTCGGCACTGACTCGATGGCGAGCGTTGGCTTGGTTTGTCCCGTCTTCCCCTGGTAGCTAAAATGACGGAGACTTAAAGTTTAGGTGGGCTTAGGAAAGACAGAGAAGGGCAGGCATTCCGCGTAGAAAGAACGACTCAACAGGCTCCATTCAGTCACCTGGCGAGAGTCTTCAAGGCGCGGGGCTGTGTGCCAGGTGCTGAGGCCCTGGGGCAGCAGCAGTGAACAGGACCAAGTCTCCCTCACGGAGGAGACCTGTTCCAGAGGAGGGAGCCGGGAACATAGATCAGGGAGCGTTACACGATTGGTGATCAGAAGAAATAAGACAAATACAGGTACATGGAGTGCAGTGGGGATGGTTCCTTCCCACTCGTTTGGCCAGAGAGAGAGAGAGACAGAGAGACAGAGAGAGAGAGGAGTGAGCAGGGTTTGCTCTCTGTCCACCGGCGTTTCTGGATCCCTAGCTTTTAGGACTCCAAGTGTGGATTCCAAAAGGTTTGTGAGCAAATGGAATTCAGGAAGAAGGGAATTGTTACTCACACGCCTTTCAAGCCTCCTCCTCTGGGGCAAACGGGAAACGTAGAGAAGCCACCTCTGGTCTACGGCCATACCACCCTGAACGCGCCCAATCTCGTCTGATCTTGGAAGCTAAGCAGGGTCGGGCCTGGTTAGTACTTGGATGGGAGACCGCTTGGGAATACCGGATGCTGTAGGCTTTAAAAAAAAAAAAAGAGAAGCCACCTCTGTGGTTCCTGAGGCACTGGGGTCCCTCTCCAGCCTGCTGCCTCATCTTTGACGCGTTGCATCCAGGGTTCTAAGTCGTGCTTGGTGGGAGAAATAAGGAAGCATCCGTCTACCCCAGGCACGGCCTGGCTGCGCATTAGGCTGGTGGGTCCAGTGTGTGTTGGGCTGCTGACCACCAGCCGCTTCCTGGGGGAAAGATAAGGTTTTCCACTCTGGCAGAGGTTTCGTCTCAGAAGCCCCCAGGGGCAGGTTTACCCTGTTCTATAAGGCTGCTGCTATGAGCCGGCATCGACGTGACGGCAGGGAGTTTGAAGTCTCCCCATCTTCTCCGAAGCTGAACTGGAGCGATTCATCCACCTCACACCTCTGTTTCAAGCTGGTCTCTCCCCGGCTCCCCCTCTCTCCTTGCATTTCAGACGTTGACAGAACCGGCCGTTCGTCCTGAGCAATTGCTTGCTCTGATCCCAGGCCACTGTATGATGACGTCCGCCGCCCCGGTGTTTTCTATAAACCGTGGTTAGATTTAGAGGTCTCATCAGGTTTCGGTTTGATTTCTTTGGCAAGCATCTTTCGTGGGGTGGTGCTGAGCTCCTCTGGCAGGCCGTCAGCAGTCAGCCGCCCCCCTGGCCATTGCACAGACTCGTTATTGACTTCTTAAGCATACAGATGGCTTTCAAATATAGTCCAAGACGCCCACCCCAATTCGCATTTCAAAGGTGCGATTTTTAGAGTCTGTGATACTATTTTTCACCCCCACCCCCCACCCCCGTCTATCGGATTGACAATGATCAAAGAGTGAGTGCCGGAGACAGGCAGCTTCTCCGACATCTGGCAAGACGACAGAACGCATCTCCCTTTTGCCCTGGCACTCCGCCTTCCAGAAATGTATCCTGTAGGAGCCTGTGCATGGGTGTGAGAGGGGTTTGTTGCACCATCGTGTTTAGATTAGCAAACATCGAAAACTGCCAAATTTTCCCTTCCTCAGGCAGTGTGGTCCATCGGGTGTGCTATAAACACAGACAGAAGTGGGGGCCGACAGCGTGTTGGTCCCCTTGGCCCACCCTTGGAGGTCACCAGCAGCTTTGTGGACAGTTCTCCTGTGCCTCTCAGCCCCAGCCTGGAGCAGGCCGGAAGTGCCAAATGCCGAGGACTGATAGCCCAGGGCAACCCTCACCCAATAAAGGATGGCGGCCTTGGCTTTCTTGGCCTTTAGTGATAAAGCCGGTTCTGTGGAAGGATCCCCATTTCCTGCAAGGGTCAACTTCTTCATTTTTGCTCCCTATCCTAGCTCCCTGCCCGCCCATGCCAGCCCCTCCCCCACCACCTGGGTCTCATATCCCTACTTCCCTGGGATCACTCCCTAGACAATTTACTCACCCCTGAATCCTTGTTGTAGCTTTACTTTGAAGGGAGATCCATTCGGACGTAGCTAGAGCTTGGGCTACTGGGAGCTCCCCAGTCCAGTCCTGCCAGGTCTTGGTCCAGAGTTCATCAGATGAGTGGGAGTAGGGGCCGGTGGTCTGACAGCACGGCCTGAGAATATTTGTCTAGAATCCTAATGCCAGACAAGGAGCCATGGGTTAGATCAGTAGTTCAAACTCACCAGCCGCTCCTTAGAAGAGAGATGAGGCTTTCTGGTCCCATAAGATCGACAGCTTCAGAAACCCAAAGGAGACGGTTGTTCTGTGTGCTAGAGGGTCCCTAGGCGTCAGAATGGACCCCGTGGCAGTGATTTTAGGATGGTGCCCCCCACCATTCTACAACACAAGCCTTAATGCTCTACACGAGCCTGCCAGGCTGTATGTATGCTCATCACACTCATTTTACAAGTCAAGAAGGTCAGAGAACGCCTGAGACACCAATCTAGGGCCACCCACGAGTACATGGTGGATCCAGGCTTCTACTTCAGGCTGTCTGGCTTCTGAGTGCCCCTATTCAACCACTTCACCGTCCTACTCTCCTGTCTCTTCTTGGTGCTCGTTGAATACAGCCAAGACTGGTCTGTTCCAGCCTGGACAGGGATCAGCAGCGGAACTTGCCAGCCACCTAGGCAGCCAGGTCAGTGGGGCCTCGGACATTCACTCGCCACATGCCCAGGGAGCTTGGCACACAGCCCAGGTGAGATTGTGAGAGGCCACTTACAGGCAGCCAACCAGCTGCAGGGGTGTCCCAGCCACATCAGTGATTCGCAGATTAGTCTTCTCAATATTCGTATTTATGATGGTGATTTTTACAATGCAAGGGGGGTGCAGAAAACAGCCGTGGATGTTGGGGGCGTGCTCTTTAGACAGTGCAATTGGAGGCAAGTCTTTCTAAGGGTTCGCGTGAGCATGTTCGGCCTGCAACCCATTTTCAAACCATCTCAGGCTAGGTCACTACGATGTTTCCATTTTTTCCTATTCTAGAGTCAAGCGAGAGGTTTTGCTTTCTTATCCTAGGTCCACGTTCTCAGTAGAGTGGTGTTTTAAGAATAATTTCTTGAATTAGGAACTTTAAGACTGACTAGTTAAAACTTTGCTGTGGCGTCATTTGAATTTCGTTTAAGTCTCAAGGCTCCTTATAATGGAATTATTCACGCTAATTATTCATGTGTGAACCTACGGAAAGAAGATGGCTTAAATAATGTAAGAGGAATTAAATATTCCACATGCCCAGAATTCTCACATTAGTGTATGGGTATGTATTAAGGAGCAAAGAAGACATTTCATACATTATATATGTCCATTTTTATTATTTTATCTATATTAAGAGACAGTTCTTGCAATTATTGTCTCATGGAAAAAACTGTGATGACCGGGGTCTGAAAACGGAGAGCTGAACCGCTCTGATTTTTCCACATGACTTGGTCAATTTTTATTTATATCGAATTTGGAGTGTAATAATGTAAACGCTGACTGGGCTCGTTACACATTTTTTCTGAGAATCATGAATCGGTATATCAAATGTTACAAAATACTATTTTGGTAACTACCTAAATAACCCATTGGTTGTTCTGTGTTCATTTCCCAATACAGTCAGTTCTATCAAAAGATCTCCTAATAGAGTCAACTGTGTTTACCTGGAGTGAGTCCTTTGTTATGTATGATACATTATGTTCATGTATGGGAGCAGAAAACCTCATCTTTCTCGCATGGAGCGACTGGTGGTTTTGAACTGCCTACCTTGTGGTTAGTGGCCAACATGTAACCATGTTCCCAACCAGGGCTGTGTCAGTCCATCTTGAGGGTCTTCCTCTTTTTCGCGGCCTTTCTACTTCACCACGCATGATGCCCTTTTCCAGGGATTGGTGTCTCCGGATAATGTCCAAAAACGGTGACAGGAAGTAGTATAATACAAAGAAAGATACCGTATATACTCAGGTAGGTATAAGCTGACCCAAATATCAGCCGAGGCACCTTATTTTACCACAAAAACGACATTAAAAATGTGTGGAAAGGCTCGTGATCTACAGAAATGTAATGACTCGTAGACAGCCCCAAGTGTTTCTAGCTTCCCCTTCGTGTGCAGTTGTTACATGCATGTATCATGACACGTGAAATGTCAGGAATCACTGGTTAGAAGACTGCGTGACATTTCACAGCTGGAGGAAATGAAGTTGCTGGATGACCATTGAAGTTTAATCTTGAGGACACGTGGGCCCACTACAGGAGGGGATCTCTCATTGCGTAGTTGACTTCGACTCACAAGGACCCTACAGGGCTGGGTAGTACTGCCCCATGAGCTTCTCAGACTGTAACTCTTTATGGGAGTAGAAAGTGTCATCTTTCAGCTGGTGGTTTCGAATAGCGGCCCAACATGTAACTACTATGCCACTATTGCTCCTACTTTTGTGTATCTGAAATTTCTGGCAGCAAAAAGCTTTTGTAAAATGAGAAAACTACTTATGTACGAACATAGACACTTCCAGGACATGCAAGGCTTGGTGTGTCTCAGGATGCTACCCTGAGTGTAAAAGATGACCGGGATGTACTTGTATCTGTGCATTAGTCTAGACATGAAAGGCCATTTCTGGAAGGTTATCGGGGACCTGAGTGGCCTTCAGGGGAGGAGCAAGGGGTACATCAGCTCTGGGAGAGCTGTGGCTACCCAGAAGTCGTTCCCCGGGACTGTTGCCTACAGGTCTTTCTGGTAAGCGATGGAGGGTACCTCAGGTGAGTTGGCTAGGTGGTTCTGAGACCCAGGTGTGGGGTGCCTTTCAGAACGCATCCCCACAAGGCCACCAGGGGGCAGTCAAGATCGCTCCCAGCCCAGCCTCCAGCCCCACTCCCAATGGCCACGCCTGGAATTTTCACCCACCTTCCCAACCCCTCCCTGACCTCCAACCGCAGCCGCAAGTAACTTTGGGAACAGTTCCAGGTGGGGAGTGTGTCATCAGGCTCAATCTTGCTCATGATCGAGATGGGGGCTATGACATGCCCACTTCGTGGAGGGAAAGGCTGGTGCTTGGAGAGATGAGGTTCGGACTCACGCAGGCCTCCCTGTCTTGCCAGAGCCTGGGCTGATTTCCTCACGAGGACCCTTTGCCTCACAACAGCCAGAGTGGTGTGGCCATTGTGCCCATCAGGCTGTCCTTCCCACTAGAGTGGAAGCGCCAGGCAGCGCAGGACTATCAGTGCCTGATGAGGGCGACTGCAGCTTCTCCCGAGGGCAAGCACAGCATGCCTGTGTCTGCCCCATGCACACCGACCCAAGTGCCTGGCACACACAGACCCTAGAACCTCGACCATGTACCTAACCCAGGCTCTTGCTCTTACATTCACCCCCCTGGGCGAGAGCAGACCCCAAAGGGTTTGGCGGCTGTCATTTTTACACAACTTTCTTCCCCGGTGCTGCTAGGCGTGTTCAAATGGCCACCCTGACGGTCAGTCATCAAGCTCAGGACCCTCCCTACAGGTGGAGAGACCCAGCAGTGGATGGAGAAGAGGTCCTCCCCCGAGTGGCAGTCCACCCCCAGTCCCACAATACCGAGTCCACAGAGTCCAGACTCCTGCTCACTGATTCAACACAGTTTATTACTGAACTGCACTTTCACCTTCACACGGATTATGTCAAAGAGCTGGAACAAGTGGGGGGATTAGGGAGGAGAGGGACCCTCAGGAGCCGGGACCCCTGGCGGGCTTCCCTGGGCCAGGCAGAGGAGGGAGCATCAGGCTGTCCAGTCTCCGGGCCCCAGCTCTCCACGTGCACGCGCACAGCAAGCCAGCAGCTCCTCACACATAAATACAGACACGCTTAACAAAAATAGTATATCATCTTCACAAGGAATAAAAACTAGTCTTGAGTATGTACAGCAGAGAGCCCCGGGTGGCCAGGACCCCAGAGACGAGACAGGCCATGGGTGGAGCAGAGCAGGGAGGGAGGTTGGTCTGAAGGGTCCCTGGCCAGGCCACTCTGGCCTCGGCAGCCCTGCTGCCCAGGCCAAGTGTGGGTGGGTGCCTCCAGCCCCCTCTACCCCGGGCACAGCGTCTCCTTCCTGCTCGAGGTAGGGAAGACCCAAGGTTCCTCCCTCTGGCCGGGGGTCCCCATGGGCACTGGCCCAAGGCAAAGATGCCACAGGCCGACCTCCTTGCAGGAAGAGGCAGCTGGGGCCGTAAACAGCTCTGGGGCACCTGTCCTGGGCCCAGTTGGTCCCTCAGTCGTGCTCATGGGAGCCAGAGGAGAGGAAGGGCCTGGCGTGGTGCTAAGCTGTGAGGGCCACCCTTGCTCTGGCCTGGGGTGCCT